CAAGCCAATAGGACTTCAGGCGTCTTATAACTTATACATACGGACATTTGTGGACCATTCCCTACGGGTTCTTGGAATGGTCAACAATATTTTATAACGTTCATAGACAACTTTTCAAGATATGGCTGCATATATCTTATTCATGAAAAATCACAGTCACTGGATGTGTTCAAAAAACTATAAAATCGAAGTTGAAAACCAACTCAGCAGAAGGATTAAAAGCGTCAAATCTGACCGTGGTGGTGAATACTATAACAGATATGAATGTTCAGGTGAACAACATCCAGGACCATTTGTTAAATTCCTAGGGTATCAACCCACGGTACACTTTGCCGGGTTCGCCCACTATGAATGGTGTTGCTGAGAGATGAAACAAAACGTTTAAGGACATGGTATGGAGTGTAATTAGTCATTCTACATTACCAAAATCTTTCTGGGGTAAAGTATTATAGACCGCAGCTTATATACTCAACAGTGTTCCAACTAAAGCCACTGATAAAACCCTATATAAACTTTGGACGAACAAAAATACCTAGTTTGAAGCATAAATTTTTTCAAAAAAATGGGGCTCAAACAAGGGTTTAATTGGTTTTACAATATTTTCATCTCATATTGTTCTAATGGAATTGAACTTGAACTCACGGACCATTGACCCAACCTCAATTGACTTGAGGCCTTTAAAATCATCCTTTTCAATGTAACTGAAATTGGTCCAAGATGAAATGGTTTAAAACTTTTAAAAAAAACTAGTCAACGTTGAACGTGTATTGCAAGTCATTTTAAAATACTTTATAAGTGATGTAAAAGTAATATGTGATACCAATTTGTTGGAGGATTTGATGAATTTCGAACGAATTAAAGAAAATAAAATTTAGCATAAAAATTTAAGAAAGAAAATTGTTTTCAAAACTCAATTTCTATGATTCAAATTTTTTATGATGATAAAATACTACAAATAAACAATCTTTTTTATATTACATTTGATACATAACAATTAATTGCTAATATATAAATTTAATTCTAATGGAATTGAACTTGAACTCACGGACCATTGACCCAACCTCAATTGACTTGAGGCCTTTAAAATCGTCCTTTTCAATGTAACTGAAATTGGTCCAAGATGAAATGGTTTAAAACTTTTAAAAAAAACTAGTCAACGTTGAACGTGTATTGCAAGTCATTTTAAAATACTTTATAAGTGATGTAAAAGTAATATGTGATACCAATTTGTTGGAGGATTTGATGAATTTCGAACGAATTAAAGAAAATAAAATTTAGCATAAAAATTTAAGAAAGAAAATTGTTTTCAAAACTCAATTTCTATGATTCAAATTTTTTATGATGATAAAATACTACAAATAAACAATCTTTTTTATATTACATTTGATACATAACAATTAATTGCTAATATATAAATTTAAACATCCATTAAAATTTTCAAATACCTAAATATGAATAAATTCATTTATAATAACTATGGATTCAAGTAATTCAAGATTCATCAAATGAAAATTAATTAAATCTATATTAATGTGAATGTTAATTAATTGATAATTACTAATAATTGGGGGTGCTCAGTTGACGTAATGCCCTATAAGCCAAATGAAAAGAAACTAGACACAAGAACTATCAGTTGCTACTTTATTGGATATTCTTGAAGGTCTAGGGGTTACAAGTTTTATAATCCCACAACTAAGACAATTTTCGAGACAGGAAATGCTAGATTCTTTGAAAATGTTGAGTTTGAGGGGGGGGGGGGGGGGGAGAAAGGGTTACAGGCTTTGTCTTTGAGGAGGAATATATTGAAGTTCCTCCAATTGCCATTGATAATGATCAGGTTTCTATCCCTGATATTGTTCAAGAAGCAACTCTGGATCAAGACAATGTCATACCTTTCTCTGAAGAGAAATTGTTCTAGAAGAACAAACTCTACAGCCTCAAGAACCAATGACATTAAGAAGATCCATTAGAGAGAGGAGAAGTGCGGGTTCGGATGATTACATCGTATTTATCCAAGAATATGTAGTTGACATTGGAATGGTGGAAGACGATCCGATCAACTTCCGTCAAGCCATGGAAAGTTCCAAATCTCAAAAGTGGCTCGATGCCATGAATGAAGAGATAAAGTCCATAACAGACAATGACATTTGGGACCTCGTCACATTGCCTGAAGGTGCGAAACTCATTGGTTGCAAATGGATACTTAAAACCCAGAGGGATTCAAAAGGTGATTTAGAGAGGTATAAGGCTCGTCGTGTGGCAAAGGGCTTTACATAGAAAGAAGACAACGATTATAAAGAGACTTTCTCTCCGATTTTTTCGAAAGACTCTTTCAGGACCATAATGGCATTAGTAGCGCATTTCGATCTTAAGCTACATTAGATGGATGTTAGACAGTGTTTCTCAATGGTGACATTGATGAAACAATGTACATGATACAACCAGAAAATTTTGTATCGGACGATACAAAGCAAATGGTCTGTAAATTAAAGAAATTCATCGATGGACTCAAACAGGCGTCTCGTCAATGATATTACAAGTTTCATCAAGTGATATCTCATTTGATTTTGAGATGAATTTGGTCGATGATTGTATATAACACAAGCTCAATGGGAGCAAGTATATTTTTCTAGTTTTATATGTCGGTAACATACTACTTGCTAGCAACGATATAGGCTTATTGCACGAAATCAAGATATTTCTAGCAAAGAATTTTGAGATGAAAGATCTTGGTGACGCCATTTTGTATTGGGAATTCAGATACACTGAGATCGTTCTCGGAGTATTCTTGGATTGTCACAAAACGAGTTATATCGAAAAGGTACTTAAAAGATATGACATGCAAGATTGTAAACCAGGTGACACCCTTGTGGCTAAAGGAGACAAGTTCAGTTTAAGTCAATGCCCTAAAAATGACTTAGAAATTAAAAAAATGCAGAAGATTCCTCAACCAAAAAATGTATGCTCAGGTTTGTACACGTCCGGATATAGCGTACATTGTTGGGATGTTAGGGAGATATTTAAGTAATTCGGGAATGGATCGTTGGAAAGCAGCCAAACGGGTCATGCGGTATTTATAGAGAACAAAAGACTACATGCTCACATATAAGAGATCGGATCAGTTGGAGATCGTCGGTTATTTTGATTCCGATTTCGTGGGATGCCAAGATAGTAGGAGATCCACTTCAAACTATATTTACCTACTTGTTGGAGGTGCTATTTCCTTGAAGAGTGCTAAGCAAACACTCATAACTACTTCCACCATGGTAGCGGAGTTTATAGCGTGTTATTAGGCATCAAATATGGCTGTGAATTTTGTCACTGGGCTGCTCATTGTAGACAATATAGAAAGATTACTTAAGATATTTTGTGATGATAAATCAGCAGTTCTATATTCCAATAACAACAGGAGCTTGACAAAGTCAAAACATATAGAGATCAAGTTCCTGGTTGTTAAAGAGAGAGTTCAGAGTGAACAGGTGTTAATAGAGCATATTGGGACAAACTTCATGGTTGTGAATCCGCTTACTAAGGGATGAATAACCAAGGTATTTCATGAACACACTGTTCATATGGGTGTAATGTCTCTTGAAGATATTTAGTTTCAGTAGGAGTTTGTACTTTTGCTTTTCATATTGAACACAAGTACTGTTATTTTAAATACGGCTTAAGGTTAAAGTTATTTTCGGTTATAAAGTTATTTGGTTTATTATCTCTGAACTTATTTAAAATGATCTCACTAAGGTATTAAGGTAAACCAGTTGGAAATAGGTATGTTACAGATCACATCGCATGTAATTTATATGCTACACATCCATGCTTGATCTGTGTCATTCGGTTATATCGATATACGTGACCATTGATGGGTTTAGCTACATGAAAGTAGCAAAAGCCGCTTTGATCCTATGTTGATATGATTGATGGACGGGATTATTTTGGGGATGCATTCAGTGATGATAGCAAAATTCTTAGTACTCATAAGGTTATATTTAATGTACAGTTATAAGGTGACACATACAATCCAAGTGGGAGATTGTAAGGATTTTTAATCCATCGATGAGCTTATATGTGAGAATAATTGTGTGTTAAATTAAAAGCTATCGAATCGATTGAGCCTAATTAAATTGATCTAATAAAACTTCGATTTTTTAGTTTTAATGTATCTAATTAAAGTATTGATTTACATATGCGTAGAGATCAGGCTCAAATCATAATTCTATGATGGACCGAATTAGATCAAACGGCGTTGCTATATAAATATGGTTATGATCCCCAAATTACACGTACGTATTATTCATTCTCTTCTACATTCCACTACAGAGAGAAAAAGGAGACTGCGTGTAGATTTGGAAAACAAATCGAGAAAACTCATTATTACATTAACCATGTCCGATTCAGGTACGCTTCCGCCATATTTATCTATTTCTTGATGATTTAACATGAAAGATCCTATGATTTAAAACAATAAATTATCCTACACTGAAAATTGATACTAAGCACTCCTGATGTTACATTAAGACAAGAAGTTTCAAGAGGAAGAAAATTTGTCGTCTTCTTGTTCTCCAAAGCAATAATATCGCTAGGGAAGGAAGTTAAATTGTATATATAGCATCTTATTTATACACCAATATGTGCAAGAATTTTCATATTGAGTCCCGTTTGATTCTCATTTTTATAAGAATAAGAATGAAAAATATAATCATTTCAGAACCCACATAAAAGATATATAGTCAATTATGATAACTTGATGTGATGGATAATGATTATATTTTCAATTTTTTGGACAAAGAATGAGAAACAAACAGGGCCCAAATCTTTCTTTCGTGCGACTGGATAGTTATTTAAATAACTGGCGTTCAAGAAAACAAAATCTGATTTTTGTAGTATGTGGTTTACTACCAATACCACAAACATCTAGTCAGAGACAGAGCCAGAATTGCATTCTAGTGGGAACATAATTTAAATAAAATTTTTAAAAATAAGGTTATAAGACGGAAATATTAACCACAAAACAAAACTAACCATCCTATTCAGACTTTTGACATTCACAGAAGTATACTTCAGAATCAGCAAGCAGCAGATCCTCATTTGATCAACTTTCGACAAAAATCAAGACCTTTTAAGGCATTCCAGTCAATGAAGCGTGGAAAAGGATTAAAAATTACAAAAATATCACCACTGAGTTACAAGCATGAAAAACAATGTTCTATTAGCCTCTCCTGTAAACTATTGATGAGAAGGCAATCATGCTCTGTTCATTCCCAGAACTAATGGTATGCAACGTAGATGTCCAATACCTGCAAAAATATTAGAGAAATTCAAGTCGTGCATCTCAGTCGATAAAAGTCATCATCAATATTCTAAAACATTATAGGTTCCACATCATTACGTGGATGAACCACAAGAATGGAAAATAAAAACTTATATTTCATTCGTTTGAAGTAAGACTTTCATCATTAATAGATGCTTTAAGATGAATAGTCTACAATATTGTCTGCAAAGTATTCACTTCTGGCAAAATGAAAAGTAGATGGAACTGTACCTAATGTGAAGCTTGGCTTGATAAAGCAATATACAAATGCAATACCTTTTTTTCTTTAAAAAAAAAAAAAAACACATTTCACAGAGAAATTATGGTGTGCATCTCAAGCACTTGTACAATTCACAAACCTCTTAGATTTCTCATATGCACTTTTTCTTCGTACCTACTAACTACAGATTCCTCATCTTCTGCCCACTAATTCTAAAAAGAATTTTTCTGTAAGAATTTAATTGAAGCTGGCATCGTTTTTATGAATAAATAAGGATGATACTAGTGAAGCAAAACAATTGAGACGTTTGCATGATTTCAACAATGTTGAACTAGCAAAACCTCCATCAAATATCTCCTTCAAAGAATTAATGAGAGCATTTTCTGAAAGTTTAGCTCTTCTCATCTCTCCAGTTTAGGGTAAAAATGAATTGAAGAAACTATGAATCATAACATTGCTACTTTAAATTCCATGATAAAGATGGAATGCCAGATGTACACATAAACAGACATCAGAGAAAGAGAGAGAGATGTGATGAGAACACTGTGATGCCTGTTGGCAGAACTATGATTAAGGCTGCTGCCCTCTAACTTCCAACAACTTGCCAGTTTTTTAAGCGTACATAGAGAAGAGGAGCACATAGCGAAAATGTCATCACACCCCCATCAAAATAAAAGGCCTTAGTTGTTAAAATTGTGCACCTGGAGATACAGTGCAAAGAAGCATAACATTTGGAATCTTTTCATGTTTGAGGAGATAGCTTCAAGAGAGCACTTGTTACACTTTCGGGGGCTTCAAAGCAAAATGGAGCAGAAAATAGCCAAAATCAAATTATTTGTGTTGTCTTTTCTCGTTCGTACTAACAACTGTTCTAAACAAACAACGTTAAACAGGTATTACAATTAATTATCAAGATAAAAATAATCATTAGGCGGTCCTTTCCATACCCATTTGAATATAGCTACAAAAATGACCCATAAAATGTTCAAAGCTACAACATATAATTATTCTTATTTGATTTTACCCTTGTTTGGCCCCACTTATTCAAAACTTATTTTTCCCCAAACTCATTATCAACTATACATTTTATGGGATCGACATCCTTTATCAACTTTTCGATCATAGATTTCATCAACTTTTATAAAAATCTATTACAATTTGATATTTAGCCAAACCAAACAGGGCCTTCACATTTCAGTGCATGCTCTACCTACAATGTGAGAGTTGGGCATATGATTATCATATCAACCATTTAGTTTAAATATATACTTCACTTTGCACTGAACCCTCAAGAGGCCTTAGAACTTCAATATGCTTATAATATAAAATTTCCATGTCTCCATAAGGAAATCTGGTAAGTTCAGCACATATAAGCTTTTTCTGCAAATTCAGTTAATACTTGACAAAGATCAAGAACAAAAACCAATAGAGCAAGACATTGTAGATTGACTTAATTTGGCTTATATAACAAGCTACACTTGGAAGGATAGAATTAGCTAGAGCATAGATGCTACGACAAAACTGATTTTATTACACAAAGGGGGCTATTGGAACACTATGCCCCTGTTTGGTACAAATTAAAATTAAAATTTTAATCTAAGTTAAGTCAACAAACAATTTTAACCACATATTTATTTGGCAACAAAACTTTTCTAACAAACATTTCATAAATCTCTATCAAAATCTATTAAATATCTTATTTTAATCCCCACCCAAACAAGGGCTACATTGGACTAGCAGGGTAGAACCAGAAGCAATAGGATTAGGGGAAAGTGTATTTAGGTGGATTATGATGCACTATTATTATATGGCGTTTAGAGCTACACCATTTTAGAAGAACCACGGACGTACAAGTATTGAAAAATAAATAATTCATGACAATAATATTTTTTGTCTAAACTTAAAAAAGAGGAAAGATACTCTCAAATAACCTTTTTTCCTGCCTACATGTCAGAAAATTTTACTTTTTTAAAACATAATTCTTACATTTATGTCAAATAGATTTGATTAACAAAAAAAATTAATTAATTCAAAACTTACTTATTTACTTATAACTAAAGTTTCTTAAGAATAATTAATTTTATAAACTTACTTTTATCTATGATAATTTTCGAATAACTTACTTTTTACTTTAAAAATTACCTTTTTAAGTAACTCTTATGTCAATGTCAAAATGAACAGATTACTCATTTTTACCTTTGATTAATACAAAAAATTATTTATTTTAAAGCTCATTTATTTTTATCAAAGCTTACTTATTTACTTATAGGTAAGTTACTTCTTGTTCTTTGTTTAAAATTTTTATTTATGTTTTTGTTTCTTTCTTTCTTTGTACAGTGAGTGAGTTCAAGTGATTCATATCCACCCTTAACCCACGTACCTTAAATTGTTTTATTTGGTTAACATAGAATAGAATAAGTTGACTGAATTAATTTAATCTTGCATCAAACTCAGGATATGATTAAATTAATCTTTATCAGGTCTGATATGGTGCTAAATACACCCAAAGTTATTAAGAACTTATGAAAAGGCTATAACAAATATTCATTGGTACTATCACATTAGACAGTAAAACAAAATTTATATTAGGAACTTATCAAAAGGCCGAGAGTAAATGACTCTTAGATATTCAACGGAATTCTCACAAATATTTTCTAGGAAAATACTTATTTTAGACAAGCCAAACCAATAGGATCAACAAAAGGTTCATCACAGAAGTTTGTCAAAAGCAAATCAAAGATGAGCATAGGCAACTCAGTTAAATATTTAATAACTTATCATTAGCGATGCAATATAAACATTCTTGGACCTTTTGTCATACATTACAAGTATTAGAATCTTAGTCCTTTGAACGGCAACCATCTCAATATGCACCCAAATTAATGGTTATAAAATTCTTCATTTAAAGCTAGTTGATTGTAGAAACGAAGAACAACAAAAATTATCCTAGAGAAGATCACATTTTTGCACCTTGAGATTTATGTTTAAGCCCAAAAGTAGGGTAATTATACAAATCAACAGTTGACAAAAAATGCATGGCTTGATTTCATCATAATGTCACATTCAAAAAGTGAATAAGAAATTCAGCAGCAATACTTTTTCCTTTAATGTTTTGAAATGCCAAGTGAGAACACTTATTTGTCAATTGTACACAAGTTTTGTAAAATTAAATCATACGACTCACAGGCATGCCTATCATGATAATGCTTGTTCGCAATATGTTAGTCTAAGAAACACGACGTGGAAATGCATGCACAAGAGCACTTGAGGATTTTGTTGAGTACAGAAACACATGACAAATGATACAAACAAGAGCTACAGTCACAAGAGGGGAGAGAAAGGTAGTTGAGGATGAGGAAATTACACCGAATCTATTGGTTCTTCTTATCATTGTTTGAAAGCATTGGAATCTTTCTCAATATTTGTTCATCGATTTTCCGGTACTGTGTCTGAATAATCTTATGTGCTATAATCAGCTTTTCATCGATTTGCCTTTGGTATTTGGCGTAGAAGACAGGTAGTGATAAACTAAGAAGAACCGCTGCAATAATAACAGAATCCCACATTACAACTGTATATTATGGAAAAAACACACAGACCTAGAGTAGAGCCAGCGAATACTGACCAATATATGCCAGGGTAAGGAAGTTGAAGAAACCTCCAATGTAGGAGATCATCCACAAGCCTAAAAAGACCTAACAAGCAAAATCCACATAGCATGGAAAATAACCTCAGTTAGTCAAATACACAATCAGGGTCAATAAACTTTATCCGCTTGACGAAAATAACAAATTAAAATGTGTAAACAACCTGAAAAAAGAGTCCCAAGTTTCCGCCAATGGTAATGTCGTGTGCAATGGATAATGCTCGATTTACCCAAACTTGCATCTCATCAGCAGCTTTCACAACAGATTCCTCAGAAATGTCCAGATTAGGAACAGGAGGCAGAGGTCTAAAATCAAGATATGATATTCACTCATTTGACTTTAAGATTCAAGTATATAAGAGCGGATTACATTGCACATAGGAACACCCACCATCAGAAAAACAAGTGAGCAGACACATGAAACAAATGCCAGTCATAATGAAATAACCTATCAAACAGTTTCTGCCAGTAACGAAATAATTTCTAGCCATATATAACTTCAGCTAAGGAGAATACAGGAACAATTCAGCAAAGAACTTAAAAGGCATTAAATTTCAACGTGCTGATGTACGTAAATCCGTCCATATTTATGCTACCTATTGAGAAGTAATGCAGATTTGGCCCAGAAGAACAAGATCACTACAAGCAAAAATAAGGCATTTGAAATAAATGATAAGAGATTATAGCCGGCTCTTTCAGATAGTAACCAAAGGGCGGTGGAACCGATAAGCACAGCAGCACTCCCAAACCAATTCTTCCACAACAACACATCTGCAACTGCATCAAGAAATGAACCGTAAGAAAAAAAATTCTCGCTTGAAATAATTTATCCAATCCTTCTGAAATCATAAATCAGGACTGGATTTGGAATTGCGTTGGTACACTTAAAAAACACTGTTCCAAAAAACTAAAACTCGAACATGTATCATTGTAGATATAGATTATACCTGCGCCACCGCCGATGGCGAGATGGACAGAGCATCGATGCGATTCGCCCATGGAGATTTAGGGTTTATACCGAAGGAAAGGATAGTTTTGATGAGATGGGAACTTGAAGGTGAAGCTGGTAGAAGATTTGCACCAAAGGGAAAAGCTGATGGGAATTAGAAATATTGTGCTTTGGCTGCATCGTGTCTGGAATTTGGAGCATGTGTTGGGAGTACTCTATTTTCCCATTTTTTAGCCATCATTAATCTTTAATTATTAATGGATACCTTTTTGTATAGCCATCATTCAAAATAAGTATGTCTAGTGCTTATTTTACTGAGTAGTGCTACAGGTACATAAGTATATATATATAGTGTCAATAATATTACATGACACTCTATCATTTGCCCGTTTAAAAGATTGATTGAAAAAATTTATTGTGTTTTAAACAGATAAATGATAGAGTGTCATGTGGTATTATGGACACCCCTATGTATATACTTATGTACCTGTAGCACTACTCTTTTACTAAAATAAGTTACCCCAAACAATGTGGCAATCTCACACAAATATACAGGTACACAAAGAAATGAGAAGAGAAGAGAAGGATATGTTACATATTGAGAGAGATGAATGAATTCTCTGTATCCCCATTTTAAAATTATAAAGTACATCTTTGCTGAGTAATATAAGTGCAAACATTAAAAAGTGGGGGGTCTCTTTTGCATATTTCCATATAAAATATGATTTTTATAACTGAGATGTGCACTAATTATTTTGCGACTACATCTCGACTTATTCACTTAAACAATCTTAGAAGTTACCAACAATTATTCTAAGATAACTAACAAGAAAGTACACAATAATACGTTGAGCATGGAATTTATTTCATGTATATTACATTTTTATTTTGAACATAGCGTCATGTAAAATATTACGAGGATTTTGATGATACTAGTCTCCTGTCCGTGCAATGCACGAGCAGGATTCTGTTGAATGTTATGTTAGCGTTTTTAATATTGAAATTTTTTTAGTTTTTAATGTTGATATTAGTTTACTGTTTAAAGAGAAAGTGAATTCATTAATTAAAAACAGAATCATTGGATGTAAGTTATGATATTAATTTTGAAATGGAATGATTTAATATAATAATATTTCACTATTTTTGCAATGGAAAGGAGAAAAAGGAAAGTAAGACGTTTACAACAAACTTTAAATTTCAAGAGTAGTAATTTATTGCTATTCGGTGGAATCTGAAGTCTTGTACATAGACAAAGATATAGACAAATCATGTTACTTTTTCCAGAAATACAAAATGGAACATTAATTACTGTCTACTGTCGCAAAAGTATCATAGATGTTATTCATTCATGTTTTTCTTTTGAGGTGATCCCAATGGTTCGGTCATCGATTTTGGAGCCTGTGTGAGTTCTTTTTTTGGGTTTTGACTCTGCTTCAATAGGTACATTTAATGGTTGGAAGAGAGACATTTTTTCATGCGGTGGATTGATTTCTTTAGTAGCGGTGGATTGATTTCTTTAGCAGCGGTGGAAATGTTATCGGGTCGTCTGGACATCTTGTTCTTGCCTTTTACGTCTTTGTTGTTGGAATTTTTTTCCATTTCAATTTGCTTATTTGCATCTTCTGTAACAATTGAGGAATCAACTTGATTTGCTGTGGAGGAGTTGAACACGAATATGATTTCAAAGAGGTACTCAGGTGGGTCGTGGTGCTTTTTTGTTGCCTTGAGGTAAAAGAGTAGCTCTGTATCACTTTCCAATTTAACAACGTCATTGAGTTCTTTAATACTTTCCTGTGGTCGACGAAATATATTTCAATAGAGTGGAATGTTTGTTGTTAAGAAAGAAAGCATTTTCGAAGGATGTTGAACATGATGTTTTACCTTCTGAAGATGGTTCATTAAGTCATTGGCGCTACTTTTCAGTAACACTTCTGCTGCATCTCTTATGATGGTTGCATCTAACGAACCAGATTTATCTTTAAGTTGTACAAAAGCATTTACAATAAAGAATGTTTTTTTTTTTTAGCCATGTATTATGTACTTTGTTCCTGAAGTAATAATTGGTAAATTTTTGAACTTATATTTAATAGAAGAAATTACCATGAAATAACTTTTGAGTGTTCATATTTGTAGAATCGATATTTATGAATTTATCCAAAGTTTGCGTTGGAAGTTTTCTTGCAGTTGTTACAAGACATATACCAAAATTTTTGGTCTTTTGAAGCTATTTTCCAGCGTGCATTCACCCAATAGAATTTCTTCTGTTAAAGGAGATGTCTCGTGTAATTAGATAAAAAGATACGACTGAGAAAAATACGTAATGTTACTATAATATTTATTGTGAAATTAAAGATAATGTGTTTCTATTAATTATATTCAGTTTATATTAGTATAGAAGTACCGTTAGATACACCCCTAATAAATCCTCAATCTGTGTCAATTCATTATTAGTAGGAGGAGAAAGTTTGGGTGGGCTGACAGCAATAAAAGGTTGATTTTCCGTCAGCTTATCAAGCGCTTCCTTGTTAACTTTCACCCTACAAGAAATAACGATATATTTAGTTATAAAATAGAACCTTTGTTTTTTTGTATTAAAGGTACGTAAATAAGCAATATGTATATTATTTATGCTGTATTACATTCTTTGTACCCCCACAACAGCATGTAGTTGGATATTAATGAAAAAACTGTTATTTACTTTGGTCGAAAGTGTGATGTCTGTACAAAAAAAATTAGAAATATCTTACATGAAAAAATATATATATTATAGGTGGAACTGTATTTGTAAGAGAAATTTACCGTTGAATGAAAAAACTTTGAGATTTGTAGCCCATATCACGAGTCTATTTGGAAAATTTTCAATTATCGAAGTGCATTCACTTTCGACAAAGGTATCCCATAATGTTAGTATAACAATTTTGAATTATTTATCTATCAAGACTACATCTTGTAGATAAGCTTTTGTACCAAAGTTAGTTTGAATAAGGCGTTTCTGTCGAACACCTATAGCGACACCCATCACATGTACAAGGTTACGTAAATTGTTTTATATGTCATTTTGCATGTAATAACTTTGAACGTAAAAATTAATTATGAAATATTTTATTTCATTTTGCATGCAATAAATTTATACGTAAAAAATAAATTATGAAATGTTATATGAAATGATTTGTTTAAATGTAATGCAGTAGAAATCTTACTTATATTTGTATTTTTGTCCATATATCTCTCTAATTGATCAAACGCAGTAAGTTCAAATTTTGAGAACCGAAGATTCAAATTATCTTCATTTAATTCTTCAACCTTTGTTTTTCCTGTTATATTCCACATTTTTTGTCCAGGAGAACTCCTAAATTCACTTTTGAAATCTTTAACTGTTGCATTTGACACAATGTATATTTTTCCAAGTTCGAACTGATCGCTTAGTGCAGTGATATTGACATCATACATTGTTGCCGTGATTTTGTTTCCCTATTCAAAAAAAGAAAAAGATGAGAACATTTAGAAAGTATACAGGTAAAATGATAGGTAAAAATTTATTGAAACGAGAGTTATATTTGTACCTCTAAATCCATGAGAGTAAGATTTTGATAACGACTATTGAAATTCCGAGCAGTCTTTGGGGATTGTTTTCCTGCGACAATCACTTTTGCTGACCATTGGTTTCCAAAGCTGAAATTTGTAGAATGAATTTATGAGGTGCAACCATTTTGTTATAGTAGTTGTTGATATGTAGGAAGAAGAAGAAAACAGTATGAGTAGAAGTTAGAATTTCTTAAAGTATGGAAGTTCTAAATGGTAACGATAATTTTTGTGTTTTTGCAGTTGTAGATATGAAGTTGAAACTTTGTATTAGCCTATTTATAAATTTTTTTTAAACAAAGTGGCTTAATAAATATTTTAATATTGGGTATACGATGTTGGAAGGACGTTATTAAAGTATTTATGTGTTCATATGTCGGTTGTAAAAAATGAAGCACATATGAGATAAATAAACTAAAAAAAGAAAATACTGAATATGAAACTATTTTTATGGTTAAAACAAATAAAATAATTTGCATTGTAAAATTTCCTCAACAGCCATACCTTATTATCTAAATAGTCATACGTTACTGTATAATCACTGGCATAAGATATGGAGATTACTTTCAAATTTCATTTATAGTACAAAGATATGGTTGTAATGGAATATAAGATTATTTTATTAGTTCTTATTATTTTATTTTATTAAAATTTGAAAATGTGACAGTTTGGAATAGGTAAATATATGAGGACTACGCCAGACATTTAATATATAGCATGGAAAGCATGGAGAAGTAAAGTTGTACTTATAATATAGAAATAGTTTTGAATTGTTTTAATGAATGAAGATAAGATTTAGTTTAAATACTATCGGAAGAAATATTTACATTTTATATTTATTTGTCGAAAAAGAAATGATGCTATAGATCAATTCATTTAATTTAAATAATATAGAAATATGTATATGTATAATAAATAGTGACAAAAGAATATTTTGTTTGTGTAGAAGATTTTTTACTAGCACACATATCATTTATATCTTATCCTTATCTATACCATTCCTTTTATATTCCAAAATCTTCATTCTCTACCTAAAATCAAAGCCAACCATATTTCAGCAAGCACCATCCATAGCAAAAGGTAAGTATTTAGATTTTTACCTCCATATTTATACAAGTGAAATTTTAAAGATGGGGGGAGGGGGGACCCCCGTGCACGGAAGTGTTTTTTAAAGTTGGGGAGAGGGGGGAGGGGGAGAACCGAACTTCCGTGCATGGAGGTTCGACACCTCTATGCACGAATTTTTTGAATTTGTATATTTTTCTACTGTTCATGTATTTTTGAATTTGTATAAATATTATTTCGCTGCTTGTTTAGAATTTTTAAATTTGTTTACAAATAGTTTGTTTTCAGATTATTTATGCAGATGTCTTTGGAATATATACTGTCTTCAAATCAATAATTTTCTGCTACTATTACTCAATATCCAAGTTGGGAATATGTTAAAGACTTTATAGATTTTATAGATGCAAATCAACAATGATCTGTAATGTGTAGTAATTTTTATGAATTATTTTTGGGAATTATTTTTAGAGAAGAGGAAGAGCTATTTAGTAGTAGATTAATACATGAATTCGTAATGCAGCTTGTTGACTGTGGCAAAAATAATGAAGTATGGGTAAAATTAGATGATCGTATTACTAAATTTG